TGAAGCTTAGTAAAAACTTACTAAGAGTACTATGACTACTGGGAATATTTTATTAAGGAAAGGAATGCACCCCAGTGCAAACAGCAAACCATCTGAAAGATTCTGAATTTTTATTTCTCTGCTCCGTGTTTTGGACCAAAGTTCAATATGAAATCAATTCTAAAACATGGCATAGTTTATCCTTCACACGTGCAGATTGTTACTCTTCTCTGCTAGTCCATGGCCTCAGTTCCTGACTCTTTCAGCATCTCTACAATGTCCCGCATCTCTGGATGATGATGCAATGGACACGTGATTTTTTATTTGAGAAAAGTTGGCTGAATTTCCCTCATTCCTGCAGTTGTATGATAACAGACAGCTGGATCTATTTGGAAGAATTGCGACGATCTGCTGGATTGTTTTTATGCATCGTTTTGGTGTTAGATGCTATGTGTGTGTGTGTCTGTGGGTGTGTGTTGAGCAAGCATTATAGGACATATCAAAATAAACATGACTCACTAGTTAGCATGAGTCAAAATCCAGCATAAAAATATGTCCCATGGACTTCAAAGTAGTTAACTGCAATATGTCAGAATAATTGGGGTAATTATTTATTAATGGAACAATTATTAATAAAAAATAAATGTACCTTAGAAAAGGCAACAACACTATCACTAATTTTCCACTTTGTTTTTTTTTTCTCAACAACTGGAATATTTTTATATTAGATGAAGATAAGGTTTTAAAGCTACATTTAATTACCCTATTACACATTAGATATTTTTCCTTATTTTTATACAATAATTGAAAACTCTCTGGACTTTATACTATTTCATCCTCTCCCCCAAGCCCCACCCCCCTTTTTAACATTTAGGCTTTTATTTGAAGCTTGAGCGCTTAGGATGAATTCAAATTTGCTGTTTGAGATATACAGAATCTCAGATTTTTAGCATGCACATTAGTAACTGCAAACCTCAACTGGCTGCTGTAACAGGCTTGGGGAAGCATCATAAGCAGCTTCCCACACTACCCTCTGTCTAGGCCTTTTTGGAGATAACTACACAACATATGCCTGCAAATGTGCATTGTCCCTATAATGGTAGGAATAACACTTTCCCTTGGAAGGGATAGAGTCACCTAGAAAATTCCTCTTGTCATCACCTCTCATTGAATCTGAGAAGTCTATTGAAGAGTAAGCATTCTGGCACTTAACACTAGCAGGCTCGGGACTGGGCCAAATTGGGAACATAATTTCTAGAAATAGAGGACTTTATGATGGTACCTTCCTGTGGGGTCAACTGGGATACACTAAAGAGGAAACACAGACTCTACCACATCTTCCCTTGTTCAGAACTACAAAGATGTCTGTCTAGCGCAGAAGTTTATGGCCTAAGGAATTTTCCAAAACTGGCACATCCCAGAAAATGGCTGTGATACTGTCTGGTTTGGGATATTGAAAAACATTCTTCCCTCAATAATTAACAGCAATAACATGTCCATTTTACTCAAAGGTATATACAATGAAGTCCCTATTGAAGTTTCAGTGACTTTCCTCAAATAAATAGAACACTACTGAAATTTATATAGAATCACAAAGACTTCAAAGGGCCAAAGCAATCCTGACAAAAAGTATCAAACACCTAAACTTCAAACTATACTATAAAGCTATTATAAGCAAAACAGTACAATATTGAAATAAAAATAGATATATAGACCACAGAAGTAGAATTGAGAGTTCAGAAAGAGGATCGTTCTTATATGGATAGTTAACCTATGACAAAGGAGCCAAGAGTAAGTACTGGAGAAAAGAAAATGTCTTCAACAAATGGTGTTTGAAATACTGGGCAGCCACATGCAAACATTGTTTCACATCATATACAAAAATTGACTTTAAATGGATTAGAGTTGGATGTAAGACTAAAAAAAAATACTTCATGGCATTGGTCTTAGTGATGTCTCTATGGATTTGTTTCCAATGATAAGAAAAATATGAGAATATAAATATTTAACTATAGAGCTTCTGCACAGTGAGAGAAAACACCATTAAGAAGAAGGTACACTATTGAGTGGGAGAAAATATTTGCACATCATACATCTGACAAGGGGCTCATATTCAAGATCCACAAAGAGCTCATACAATAATAAACTAAGAACCCAATTTAAAAGTGGGAAGAAGAGCTACTCCACTCTTGGGTATCTACCTGAGGAAGACAAAAACACTAATTCAAAGGGATATATACTATCCTATGTTCATTGAAGCACTATTGACAATAACCAAGTCATAGAAACAACCTAAGTGCTCAATGATGGATGAGTATATTAGGAAGATGTGGCATATACACACATCTTCCCTTTACAGGAATTTGGATGGATCTGGAGTGGATATAATTAATATCCACTCCAAATATCTCATAGTTTCACAAGGATGTGGAATTTAGAGAAACAAAGAATCAAACAGAATCAAACCAATGACAAATTGTAGAAGTAAGACTTAAAGAATTGAGGTTATCAGAGGAAGAAGGATAGGGTAGAGACTGGGTATAGAAGGGTCAGTGGACTATGCTGGAAGATTATGAGTATTTTAGTGGTTGGTAATAGGGGTGACCCTGTAACTCTGCATCATAAATAGTGTTGGAAGCCAATTAACTGGCAGCTATTTTTCTTTTGATTCAATGAATTCTATTGTTCAGGGAGAAACCTGTCTTTGTTCAGTAATCCAGGTCCACTTTTAGATCTGAGTAATCCACAGCATAAAAATTATCCATGCAGGATAAAAATAAGTCTTACTCTAGCTATGCACTACTATCTCTTTTAAGGGACTGGCTTTGTAGAAGTATTTCCACAATTGAAAACTAGTAAAATCAGAGAGGATGGTAAACTTGAGCATTATCATCATCAGTCCTAGACTATCCTTCCTCTTATGTCCAGCTGAATTCAGAAAGAATTCCTAATATCACTTGTACCCTACAGATTCCAAGTCCCTTCAAGAGTCAGAGGGGGAGGAACTTCCCTGGTGGCACAAAGGGTTAAAGCCTGCACTATGAAGCTACCATCAGCCACTGTACTGGGAGTTCCATCCCTAGCTAGGGGGGTGACCCACACGGCACATCAGACTTCTCTTGTCTCACCTACTGTGCCCCTTGGCAGTGTATTTCAGTGGATCTGCCTGTTGTTCCCCACTTTGTCTCTAGTGAATCCTCTCACCCCCACATATCTGGCCTGTACCTCAGTTCTTGTATGCATAAATAAATAATCTTAAAAAAAAAAAAAGAGAGGGGACCCATGACTCGCTATTTCATACTGGCAATCTGCCAGGAGTTTGCCCATTTTCCAGGTAAGTCAACCTAGAAATAGTAGGAGGCAAATACCTGGCCGAGTGGCAAATGAGGTCTATTCACCACCCGTGTGAAACATACAAAATGCCAGGGGAGAAAGGAATGCGTTCCGCTTGAGGAAGATACAGAACAGAGAAGTTTATTTTACACTATCCGTCCAAGAAAACAATCGCCATAAACCAGTGCAAAATGTGCAACAGAATCAATAAGTGTGTCTTAGCTCTGAGAGCCCAAATTGGTGATTTTCCTTCCCATTCCTTCCTTGGGCAGGTGCCCCATCAGCTGACGCTGGCCTCGGTCTGCACCATCAACAGAAACATTCGACCAATTTGTAGCAGGTTATTTTTACAATTCATACCAGGATGTGTACAAGGGACGAGAAAAACCATACCGCATGAATGATAAGTGATCAGTGCTTAAAGTAAATACAAGGGACAGCACGGGCAAGAATCCACAGTTTCAATAAATACAAGTGTAACAAGCATGGGTGGGTCTCCACTCGTGGAATTAGTCTGCATAATAATTCAGCATCATACAAAATCTAGCAGGGTTGTTGAGCAGTGATTGGCAACAACGTTCACAATAACTTATGCCCAGGAGCGAGTCTGCATTGAACACATTCTGTGGTTCCAAAGGTGTCAGTTTTCTGTTTTCTCCTTCCCTTGCCACCCCTCCGGGAAGGGAGGGGGCAGCCGTGGCAGCTTGGCGGTGGCATCCCATCAGGAAGGACGCTGGCCAAAGAGACAGCTGATAGGGTCCAGTGTACTCAATACCGAGTGGCAAATTGGGACTTTATTGACATCTGTGCAAAGTGCGCTTCTCTCCATTTTCCAAGAAACCAGTGTCTGTAACTCCTGCATGGAAAGCAGTGGTGGCCTCTGGGTCACTCCCTCTGGGTCACTCCCTGTCACCCCAATCCCAAGGATGAGAGCACATCTCAAGGTCTCACAGGTTGGGAAGCTTCTGTCGCTCACTGCCTATTACCTGGTGGATGGATTGTTTAACCAGGGCCCTCGTCAGAGGCCTCAGGCGGGTTGGAACTATTGCTTTGAAATACTAGAAAGAACCTAGTGAGAAAGCGATGGTCAGAATGGACACGTGGAAAGTTGTTTTCTCCCTAAAAAACCTTGCACCCCTAGGTTACGCCCCTAGGCCAGTGGGGAGGCATCCTTGGGCACGAAATGACATCCATTTGTTCCTGGTGCCCTTGCCTGCTGTTGCTCTAATTAGCACTAACTCCATGCATATGCCAACGTGCCCGGGATCGGATCCCAAAAGACACAGCAGGGACAACCTGTGGATCGATTAGTCCAGAGCCCAGTGAAAGAAGATGCAAGAGAAGCTCTCCATCTCTGGAAGAAAAAGAATATAAAGGGATGTCCCTTAAAGCGAAACACCCCGCCCCCCAAACCCAGTAACCTAGGAATCACCTCAAAACATAACAAAATCCCAAACGCTACCTAGAAGCAATGTTTCCTCTCCTCTCTATTTCTTCGACAGTCTCAGGTCATAAATTAGGTTAGTTTTCCATCCAATAACTTAAAAAAGAAGGAGGGATTGTAGTAAGTTTTGCCTGGCTTGGGCCAGTTAGCAGCCAGTTTTTCTAGTATCTCAGTCACTGTTCAAAAATGGAGCTTGAAAATTCACGTGAATGTCTTCACATGGAGGAGGTGGGAAGGGGTTGGGGTGGGTGGGTGGGTGACAGGGAGGACCCCCGGAGGGGGAAGTGAGGGGAGGAGCTGAGAGAGCCTGGGCAACCGAGGCAGGAGCAGAGGCCTGTGAACAGGGGGAGAGACGGACACCCCGGCCCTGGGGGCCCGTGTGACTCGGGGTGAGGCCGGGTCTTGTATTGCACAGAAAAGAAGGAACTGAGCCTCTGTGGGCGGATCAGTGGTCGCCACACATGGGGAGGTTCACGAAGGTGAACACGTTGAACTCCGTCATGATGGAGAAGCACAGGAACACACCGTACAGGAAAAGACACCCGCACCCCAACTTCTTGTCCAGCTGCCATTTGTTCAGGTGAACGCCAAACACCTGCAACACAGAGGATGGGGTCAAAGGGTACCCTGAGGTAGCACCCACCACAGGTTCTTGGGCAGGAGCCCTGGTGGTCTTCGAACCTGCTGAATTCATTTCTCATGTTCTGGAAGGTAGGACATCAAAATCAAGTAGACAGAAGTCAAAACCAGCTGGCTGTGGAAAACTATTTTAAAAGGCACAATGATGGGGCCAATCTACATAGTCACAGCTCTAACCCTGTACCACTCTGGGTGGGCACCAGTGGTCTGACTCTTTGCCATCCTGCCCCAAGCAGACCCTGCCTGTTCCTGAGGTCGCCTGGCCTTCTGGCGGTGGCCACCCCCTTCCCGTTGTTTTGTCTGGAGGCCGGAAGTTGACCTGGTTGCTGCACACACTGTTTTCCTTCTCTGCCTCTATGAGGCACTGAGCCTGAAATCTAAAATTTTCCAACATTTATTCTAGCCCTTTCAGTTGCATCAATTCTGCAAGCCTGGTCTCTCCCGGCTCTTTCAGAACTGCAAGTTTCTATCCACTGCCACTCTGTCCTGTCAGTCTTGTTAGCAATCTCACGATCACTAAATCTGTCTTCCCGGCACCCACCCAGCTTCTCCCTTCCTTGGTTGCACTGTATCTGCCAGCCTTGCATGGCTGCACCCATTTAAACTCAAATCAAATAAAAAACTTAGTTCTGCAGTTGTACGAGCACAGGTGCAACCCTCTGGATGCGTCTTGCTGGTAACCTGATTCCCAGTAGCAGAACAGGCTCTCTAATCTCTGCATCCAGCACCCCACTCTCTGACCACAATGCATCTTTCCTGCTCATTCCATGTGGTACCACAGTGCAGATTCATTTGTGCCTTCTCTGCTTCACTGCACTTCACTCACCTCACACCCTCTCTCTGCCTTTACCCCCACTTAAATTCCACAAGCAATTGCTAGAATCACTCCTGGGCATCTGATTCCAGCCTTCAGTCCCTCTCTAGCTGGCATGCTTATATGCTTTGGCTCTTGCCACACTCCCATCCACACTGCACTGCTCCCATGCAGGGGGAGAGGAAAGTGCTCGGCCATGCGAATGGGTTTCACTTTAAATTCAAGCACACACTGAACCGAAGTGATCCCGAGAGCTTTCTGGTCACCACCCTACGTCCCCAAATGCGCTTTCTCTCCCTCTGCTAGGTGGCTATGTTAGTGGACACTTCTTGGGAGGCAGTGCGAGTGCTGGGGAGAACATGTTTATACCAAACATGTCAGGTGAGTTGTAATATTAAATTATACAAATGCATGTAATGACCAAGGGAGAGGAATGATATAAAATGGTACTCTCAATAAGATATTTTCTTAGTTTCTGAGTACTGGCCAAATTCATGGATTGATGGGGATGCTTAGTAACTTGGAACAGAGAATGAGTTAGAATCCACCCCCTGTGAGTAATCTTGCAGAAAAAAAAATGGGTTCTTCCCTTTAGTTTTGCTAAAATAGTTTGTGCCTGACATGAGATTGGGCCATGCTTCTGACAGGAGGCTGGCTCCTTTCAGGAAGGAAATTGGCTTTGGGGAGGGTTGTTGGGATCTACTTCTAGAGGAAACAGTCACCTCCGAGATGGGACATCTGGAGGTCAACTGAACCCATTGCTAGGAGACCAAGCCCATCTGATATCCAAATAAATGCTGTAGCCAAAGAACCCAAGGGGGAGGGACCACGGGAACTCAAGTGGCGAGAGGACTGCACACTTACCGTGACAAAGACAGAGGCCAGGAGCAAGCCCACGGAGTAAATCAGTCCCCTGCTGTTCAGCCGAATCTGTGAGAAAGGATCAAACAGTTAAGTTTCTGAAAGGGCAAGTGCAGAATACTCCAGCAACTCTGAATGTCAGTCACTCCGAGCTGCTCCTCCAGGCTGGAAACCAAAAGGGGCCGGTGCTCTGCAGCTTGCAGCAGGAATGTGCACCTTCCAGAACACCCAGGAGAGTCCTGCACTGTCCACTCTTGGCCCACCTCCTTCCCTCCAGCAGTGGCGCCTGCTGCCCGGCTCAGGCCACTCCAGTGCTCTCCCTTGTGTTGTGTGATTCTTGTTGCTCATTTCACTGCCCTGCTGACCTGACCACCAGAGGGCTTTCACTTTCTGGGCATGATTTTTGGGTAATTTTTATGACATGGGTGATGGGTGCACTATTTCAAAAAATATTAATAAATGCATCTCTTTTGCATTAAAATGCCTGCGACCTCCTCCTAGCGAGCTAGAAAGAGGTAGAGGAGGATTGCCACAATGAGTCAGCAGTGAGAAGCGTTTACATCCTGTTGCTGCTGTGCATAAAAGGGTTTGTTTATCACAGAAATACCATGGAGTTAGCAGCTAAACATTGACGGGAAACACAGAAACAATTTTGGAATTCTTGAAGATCAGGGCTGTCAAGTAAGGCTTCCTGTGATGACAGAAATGGTCTACATCTGTGCTGTCCCAGGAGAAGCTGTTAGGCACATGTGACCTCTGAGCACCAATAGTGCGGTTCATGCAACGGAGCAACAAAATTTTTCTCTTGAAAGAACTCAAATAAAGAGCCACATATGAGTGGTGGCTGTGCTACTGGACACAGTAGGTAAAGCAGATTAAGGGGCCAAGCAATAAAAAAATCATAGTTTCTGCCACAGTGCTGAGAAGCTGTCCTGCTTTGGCCTGGGTCATAGTTTGCTGGCCTAGGGCAGCGGAGCTCAACATGTCCTCAGAGCAGTGCAACCTGGGTACATGCTGGACAGGCAGATTCTCGGGCACACTCACACTTCCTGAATTAGAAACTGGGGATGGGGCCCAGTGAGTTGTGATTCTGATGCAAATGCTGATAGAGAAAAAGCAAAGGTTAAATTCATGTCTGATCTCCAAAGGTGCTTGGGATAGGACTTTGACATTCACTTTTCACTATTTTTGGAAACCTGTATATGCCTCTAGGTTTGGGACTCACACCCACTCTAGAGTCCTGCCAGGAGTCAAGCTCTCACTTGGGCTCACAGAAAGGATAAATGAGGCTGATGGATGGTTTTCATTAGAGAAGCAAGTGGTTTCATTAGAGGAGTGACTTGATGACTTTCTGATAAGGTTAAGGTATGTATTTGTTACTCTTTTACCAGTTCATCTCCAGGGTTGGGGTATGGGAACATGTGAGGGAGGATCCCTAGCGATGGGTATTTTGGTTCATCTTTTGGTGAGTGAATATTACATGCCCTAAATAGTGAAGCCTTTCTGGGGGACCCTGGAGCAATCTTTTCTCATAGTGAAAATATGCTGGACTCTATCTCCCCTTCCTCCACAACCCATGTGAGCCAGCCATCTAATGGGCCCCTGGCTGCAATTTATTCCCAGACACCAAATACCTTTCTAAGAATGAAGGACTCAGAGCATATCGCTGTGACACTGAAGCAATGGGTTGAACTGGTTAATTCAAGCAAAATAATTGGTGGAACTGCCTGATCCCTGTCCAACTGGTAGCTTAACTTCCCACAGACCCTCAACAGGTTGTGAGCAGATTTTCCTCTTTTCATTGAAGAAGTTGGTATAAAGAAGCCAATACATAGGAATATCTCACAAACACCTTGGACTGAAAGAAATTCTCTGCCCAAAGTAGGCTGTCTACACTGACCCTGTGATAATCCCAATATACCCTGACTGGTGCTGAAGAGGAGATGGGTCTTCACAGAACAAGATGGCGGTCTCTATGTGGGGTGAAGAACTCACTGGCACTGTCCTCAGTCAAATGGACCTTGGACAGACCCTGAAACTGTGAACGCAAACTCAGAAATCCTCTTGAGTTCTTAATTTTATATTCTTTCCCTAGTTTTACTGAGATTTTATTGGCATATATTACAGAAGCTTAAGGTGTATAATGGTTTGAAATTTTGATACACATACAAATATAGTTACCACTATGGCCTCCATCATAGCACATAATTACCATTGTTTTCTTGAGAACATTTAAGATCTACCCTTTTAGCAAATTCCCAGTCTATAAATTTTAAAAAAAATAATATAATAGCTTATTTTTACATCATTTTGTGCATTTTTCCTTCTCAGTTGCAATCCCCGTGGACTTCCCATCACCAAATCACCCATGTGGCATCACCATAGTCCAGTGCATTTCCCTCTCCCGATGATTTTTGATCCCATTCCCCACTCCACCCCCACAAAATGTCTCTGGTATGTAGTTTTTCATCATTATTATTATTTTCTTGCCTGGTCCAATATACTCCTGCTATGAGTGAAACCATCCGGTATTTTTCCTTTTCTTTCTGGCTTATTTCACTAAGCATGGTCCCTTCCAGCTCTATCCATGTTGCTGTAAAAGGCATGTGGGTTTTTTAATTTATTTCTGCTTACAGAATTGGGGTACAGGCCAGAGGTATGGGGGGTGGAGGATTACCAGAGATAGAGTGGGGAGCAGAACAGGCAGACTGACAAAACACACTGCTGAGGGGAGCAGCAGGCGGGTCAGCAGAGGTCTGCCACACCATGTGGGTCAGCTCCTGGGCCCGGGATTGAACTTGTGCTGCAGTGGCCTTGGAGAGCTTCATAATGTGATGCCTCAACCCACTGCACCACCAGGGAGAGCCTGTACCACATCTTTTTAATCGAGTCATCCACTTTTGGGCATTTGGGCTGTTTCCATGTCTTTCCAATTGTAAATAAAGCATCAATAAACATGGGGGTAGGGGTGCAGAATTATTATTTAAAGGTTTGTTTATTTATGCATATAAGAACTTGGGTTCAGGTCAGAGGTGTGTATTTGCGGGGGAGTGATGGGGGGGTGAAAGGATTCACCAGAGACAGAGTGGGGAGCAGAACAGGCAGATCAACAGGAATATGCTGCTGAAGGGAGCAGCAGGTGAGACAGGAGAGGTCTGCTGTGCCATGTAGGTCAGCTCCCTGGCCAGGGATTGAACTGGTGCTGCAGTGGCTCTGAATAGCTTCATAGTGCTGCACTTTAGTCCCTTGTATCACCAGGGAGGCACAAGCCAGTGAGAGCAGAGCTCCAAGCAGGAAAATTCTTTTGGCCCAATATTTTGTTTTTAATTTTTAAAGATTTATTTTTTATTTATTTTTACATACAAGACCTGGGGTATAGGCCAGAAGTATAGGGATGAAGGAGGGTAAGAGGACTCACCAGAGACAGAGTGGGGAGAAGAACAGGCTGATCTGAACTACACTGCTGAGGGGAGCAGGAGCAGTGAGAGAGACAGGAGAGGTTTGTTGTACCATGTGTGTCAGCTCCCTGGCCGGGGATGGAACTCAGGCCTCAGTGGCTGGTGACAGCTTGACAGCACTGAGACTTTAACCTCTGTGCCACCAAGGAGGCCCCTAGCTACATCCTTTAAAAGTGAATCATGATCAACTAAAGCTTTTGCACTTTTCCTTTATCCACATAAAAAAGTCTCAAAGAACTGAATGACTGAAATTTTAAATCTGGCTTGAAATGTTAAAACAACTTTTTTGGGACTTCTGAGTGTTTTTCGCTATTGCACTCTTTCCTCTGCAGTTGTTCTTTAGAAATGAACATGCAGCCAGGGGTGTGCTTTTGTTGTTTTCATTAATGAGGGTCTCCAAGCTTGTTGTGATTCTTTGTAGTCTGAACCCACAATTCCACACAGAGACAACATTGAGGAATTCGGGTTCCTATAGTTGAAACTGAGTAACACCCCTCAGCCACTGGAGACTGTTGGGGCAGGGGTGGAAAACTATGACCCATGGACCATACAGTCCATCACCCATTTTTATGAATGAAACTTTATCAGAACTCAGCTCACTCATTATTTCTGGCCGCTTCCATGCTGCAATGGCAGAGCTGCGTCTTTTGACAGAGACAGCATGGCTACAAAACACTTAAAATATTTCCACTCTGACCCATGCCAAGACAAGTTTGCTGACCCCATTTAGTTTGCTGACACTGGCTCCAGATCCAGCTTCCCAGCTCCTGCACCCCTGCTCAGTCAACTTGCTTGCTGAATAATAATGGATCAGGAAATTCCCCAAGTCTCAGTTTTCTGCCATGTTAAATGGGGGTGACATATCAATAGTTCCCTCCTTATGGGGTGGTTGGGAAGATGAACTGAAGTAACCCATGTTAAAACCTTGACAAGGACCAGTGTGTAGGAAGTTCTCCTAAGTCTGGGCCACATTCCCCATCCAGTCACTCACAGGTTACCGGACCCCACTTCCTTGGCACCCCTGTTTGCTGCTTAATAAACTTACCCAGCACCCTGTCAATGCCTCAGTACCTCAGATGAAAACACCATGAAGGCAGGAACATACTTGCCTTTACCCTCCTCCTGGTACTGGACGGGGCATGTGCTGGGTGTTACTATGTAATAGATGATTTGAAAATTTCACATCAAATAGTGCAGAGTAGATTGTTTAGAGAGGCAACGAATGCCACCCCTGGAAGAATTTCCAGATGCAGTTCAATCTCCGTGCAACCTACCAATCTCCGTTCCTCTTTTTATTTTTGGAGTGTGTGTAGCATTTCCCCTACCCATTGTTAAGAAAATTTCAAGCATTCCAAGAGGTTAAAAGAGTTGCACTATTTTATTTTTTAAACAAACTTTGTCTTAAGCAGATCCTAGCATCCTTCACCTTAAACACTTTCGTTGGCATCTCATTAGATGCGGCTCAGCTGTAGTTCACTGGTCTTTCATGTTTGTAGATACAACTTCCACATGGTGAAATTCACACATCATCACTGCCCCATTCAATCTGTTTTCTTGAGAAGTGCGCACACTGTAGCTCAAACTGCAGCCACAACGCAGAGTACTGGGGGG